ATAAAATCGACTACACAAGACGGGTAGAAATTCAAACTGCGTGTATTTGTGCAGTGAACTACAAAGGCTGTCAGTGTCAATGAAAAGACGCAAGATCATTTTAATTACAAGAGAAAACAAAGCATGTCCGTGATAGTCTTCATTAGTTAATATGTTCTTAATTACAAATTCAGCAAGCATTCGGTCAAAACCAAGAGCAAGCAAAAGAATAGTTATGTATTTCGAGTAAGAATAACTCGGCATGAGCAAATCTGGAGTGTAATATAAACACGCCGTCACAAAAAACACCTTTTCATGCATCAAGTTAGCTCCATATATGGATCAACTTGCATCTGAAACAGTCCGAACTCCATACGTGGACGAAATGCCGCTGTTGATTTGACATGTGTAGGCTCTTTGTATTTACTTTGGCCGGCTATATCTGGCCTGATTGAATTTTCGTTTTGTATCTGTCCTAGTTTGCTGACAAGACGTAGCCCAATTACCAGTGTGATAAATATGTTATATACCAACGCGCTGATATTTGACAAATACTACATAATCTACGTGATCGAGGGTTTCCTTTTCGATGAGTTCTCTTTCGGTGATAAAATATTGATCGACATTTGGCAAAAATAATCAGAGCCCGGAGAGGATATTGATCGCTATGAGCTATCGCTTCAATTTCGGTCAATTTTTTACCTTAGTCCGAGGCATATTTATTTTCAAATTTTCGGGTACTTTGAGTGTTTACAATTTTTTCTGATTTGTACGTATATTGCTCGATATTGATCACCAGGCTCGATGTATTACTGGTTGCGGTGGGTAGTGTAGATAATGTGCGTGCATATCTGGTATTAATATTTATGTGCTTGCTACCCACGCTATTCAAAATGATAATGATTGCTACTTGCGGAACTTTAGCGCGCGAATGTGGGTGTACACAGCATTTGCTTTGCGGTATGGACATATGCAAGATCCACCCAACAATTTTAGAGTGGTGTGGTTCCGCTGCGCTATTTAGCGACAATTCGTCATTTTACTTTCCCTTTTCTACTCAATTGTCGAAAAGAGCTAGGGCGTACGTTGTACCCCTTACTTATATCTGCAGCAAATTGACACGTTCGGGTTTTGCGAACTGTTGTCGCCAAACTTCTATTGTTTAGGTGCCCCGACTCAGCTATTACTTTTCTTCAGCCTATTCCGGCAGCTACCTTTAGAAATTTGATTAGAGAAATCGTGGTCTCATCCGATAGTAATTTAGGCGCATTGTAGGTGTCATGTGAAGCGGAGCTATTTTGATTACTTTCTAGATAAAAGCTGAAGCTCAATGTGTCAAATAGTTTGTAGAACAAGCAACGACTGAACGAGTCGACAAGTTATAAGAATTACGAGCTAGCCATTTTTACTCGCTCATTTAGCAAAGACAATAACTTTTCTGACAGAACCTCTAGTTACGTATAAGGGGTCTCAAGATCAAAGAAATGGGCAGCATATATGGATAGATAGTGCATGCCTTAAGAGGCTTCGAAACGTTTCGAAATTTGAGACGCCTAAACAAGCCACATGTACTCTATAGATCGAAATGTGAATTGATGTTTATTTTATCTTTACGCAGGAGTAATACTAGACCGAGTACTTACGTAACAGGTGTTACACACTACTAGATTACAACTCGAAATGTACGTCTTATATGTGTGATACGCTTCCGCTTTTGAACTTGTTACGACTCATTAAACGAGTCGTACACCACAGGGTATACGTATCATAACTTGTTAGCACCTCCAGATTTAACTACCGCTACATCCGACGTCATTCCAAATTACAATATGGCAAAGTCTTGAAATTGCACTTTATTCAGCAATTTATAGAATAATGAATGTTCTAGACTTTAAACTGATTTCGCACTCAATCAGGTCATTTTGTTACGCACCAATTTATTTGTTTTTGATCGCTATCGTTTCAATGGTGATTGCTTGGCAAACAATTTACTGCTTGCTGCGATTTTCATTCCGGTATCCATCATATTTTATTTCTTTATCGCCTAAATCTTCCATGGTGATAGTGTTCATCATCGCTTTATAGTCGAGCCTTATATACAACCTTACGCATTCTTTCTCCTGGCAAGACACATCGCTGTTTGCACAAATCACTTGTAGCTCTTGGTAAATGAAAGGGCTTTTTCATCTTGAGGATCGATTGATCATCACTATTTGTACGGTCTTATTCCATATCGTAGCGTCCCGTTTGTCTCGATACCCTGATTCTTGTTTACTAAGCCGTTATGTCTTGTCATCACGTGAGAACATACTATACGCTCGCTGATGTCCAACAACTGTAGAAGCGGTGTTTATAAACCAGAAAATAAAGGATTGCTAGCACGCCAATTTTATTAGCCCGACCAGTACATGTCTAGGAGTTCCTCTCGTACAACTGATCTGTCGAGGAAATTTCTGTCAAGCTTACCGAACTTCACAAAGTCTGGCTTACGCCGACTTTTTCCTTTCAGTGCTCTCAGTCAGAGTTTGAACAATCGTCAGCAGATGTGAGCATCATATACAGCGGTCCTGCATGGATTACGAAGGTTGTACGCTCTATTAGCTATTAAATATATCCAGGCGGTCGTGTTGTTGTGACCGGCTTTTCGCTCAGTTTTCTTGTACACACTCGACTTTTTCCAGCTGGCATGTTACCGTATCGGCGTTGACTGTGCCGGCACTATCACACACCATGAGATATACACTAATCTCGTCCGTGCGTGTTATCTTGAAGTCCGGATCAGACCATATAACGTATTCGATTGTGCATCAACACCTATATGTATGGGCAGTGAGATGAAAAATACAATCGGGAATGGCATGTGGGTTCCTGGTGGCAAAACATTCTGCTGACTATTTACTGCTTCAGTGGTGACGATCCGATTATCGACTATAGTATCGGGAATGACGTGAGGATTCTTTTGCTACATTGATAGACTGGAAACCTTTGAAGCGGGTATTGTGTAAGTATTATGAACTAAGAATCGCATTGCTAGTTTTATTGCTTATGTCGATGGCTGGACTATATATACATGCGAATTAATGGCGCAGATCGGATAAGATGGATTGATGTAGGAGTTGGTGTTTCAGTTCTAGTCATGATTCATGCAGTTAATAATGTGCTATGGGCATTTCTGTGATATCTGTTCCTGTTTGTTTTGCTTGTCAGTGAAGTTGGCTAGCCGATTATGTGCTTTAGATACAAAAAGTGGTAAGGGGGTCGATCAAAGTATCGAATTTTTTCGTATTAGTAGTGAAGTCAGTTTTAACTTTGCTGTGTGCAAGAGCGGTCAAGAAAGATATATTGATTACTTCGAATCACCAAATAAATTGTTTGGCTGGATAATATGGTTCTTGAACTACCTTTATTATTTAAATGACCTTTATCATATAAACACGTGATTGAGCACGTTTTATTGATTGTCCACTGATACTAATCATTTTATTTGGATAGGGCAGTTGACTTCGCTTGCTAATTTGAATGATTAAACATTAAAGGGCTTCCTAAAGTTAATTAGTTGGTTGTGTTGCTCAACCTGTTTGTATTGGTAGTGGAGTGAGCTTGCTATGGTCGTATACACTCTCGTCACTCACTCCTACGTGTAAATTCGTGCTTGTCGTCCGGGACGGTCGTCAATCGCAGCACATAGGTCACCAGCAAGAGCGGTCACTAAAAATAAGATACATCGGTCTTGATCTGTATCACAATGTGCTTTCATTTTTTTCCGCCATGGCCGACATTTTTGCGTACAAAAAAGCTTTGATCACGGCGATCTCGCTGGCCGTGCCGTCGATCGTCGTACCAGTTCTTGCGTCGCATGTCTGGCCGAAAAGCGTGGCCATTCGGTATCCTGTCGAGGTTTTTCTCAGCGAGTGTCCGAGAATTGACTGTTGTTCTCCAGGTAACGCTGTTTCTTGCGGTTCTCTCCGATCAATTTATGATTGATGATCCGCGCCACTCGCTATGTGTCATCAAAAAAGTTGTTGTGGATAGAGAGAGCCCGTTATACCGTCACTACCAACATCGATCGGCAGTACCCAACGTGATCTGCTGGACCAGCCGTTCTTCTCTCGCAATGAAATTGTGTTGCTCAAGCGTATCTGCTCATCTGTAGCATGAAAATACACCCGTTCGACCTCTGCCTATTCGTGATGCATTACCGTGACTTATCTGGCTGACCATACTGAGATGAAGTACGAATATTTACGCGTTGCAAAGCGGAGTCCATTTTTGCTGTCTGTACTTGGGCATCTACCTCTATCAGCTTAAAGCAGCCTATTCCAGACCAAGCAAATAGTAGTTCACACCACTCGTTTAAAGATTCGCATGTGCTCCATCTCGTACGCCTTCGTCCAAAAGAGCTCATCGACCAACTTTTGTCCTTCGTCCTTCCCTTCGTCTCGGCGAACGTTATTGCTGGCGCCTTCGCTCCGTTCAGCGTCCCACTCATGTGTACATAGCATATAGTGTAGCGGAATACTAGGTGGCCGTTTACGCCACAACTTCTAGATCGATGTACGCTTATGCTTTCATTTCGCCATCGTAGACGGGTGGTCAAGAACGGTTGTAGTCGACTCGATGAAGAACGACATGATGTTCATCTTACTCCGCATCTGTGTCAGATCGTGTGCTTGAAAGCACTGGGCATGCGGATGATAGCGGTCGACCCGCAAGGTGCGTTATTTCTGCGCAGTCTGGACTGGCACAATGCTTGTGTGTTTTGGCCCTGGACAGCAGAGCGCTTTCCAGAGATACTACAGGTCTTGGTTGTATCTGCACACCTGCAAGTGTCGTATGTCTTATGCTTGTGAGCATGGATGATGTACACTTGGAAACCCGCCTTACCAAAAGCAGCACACAACCAGCAGGAGAAGTAATTATTTGAACACGCATTTGCGTCGCATAAACGTAATGGAACTGACAGGGCTGAGTTGGTCAGAACCATCACAGCACAGAGCATTTCTGTGACACGGTCATGGCGCCTACTCCATCGACTTCAGGTCGTGGGCCACGGTGAATGCTGCTTCCGTGCGCTCCCGTATCTGTTCAACGGTGGTGGTAGGTGCAATCTCCACGAGTACGAGACCTTTACCGGGCACTACGTCGAACACGCCCAATTCCGTGATGATGGTGTCCACAACACTCTTGCCCGTCAGCGGTAGCGAGCAGCTTTTCAAAATCTTCTTGACCCCGCCCTTTGCGTTGTGCTCCATTGTAACAACCACTCGGTTACCGCTACCGACGAGATCCATCGCGCCACCCATTCCTTTGACCATCTTACCCGGAATGATCCAGTTGGCTAGATCGCCGTTCTCCGCAACCTGGAGAGCACCCAGGATTGTCAAATGCACATGACCACCACGAATCATAGCGAATGACTCAGAAGAAGAGAAAGTGGACGACCCCGGTAGAAATGTTACGGTCTCCTTGCCAGCGTTGATCAGATCCGGATCCTGCTTGCCCTCGTTCGGGTATGGTCCCATACCCAGCAACCCATTCTCACTTTGCAAGATTACTTTGACTCCGTCCGGAACGTAGTTCGAGGCTAACGTTGGCAGCCCAATACCCAGGTTCACATACATTCCGTCCTTCAACTCTTTGGCCGCGCGGCGGATGATGCGCTCGCGATCCGGCGATATCTTGTATTGCGATTTCTGCAACAGACCGTCATTAGCATAGCTCTTATAAGTGCTGCATAAACAGAAAAGCTATCAGCAAACCTTTGCGTCGGCAAGTGTGAGTCTCTCGATTCGCTTCTCCATCTTGTCAGCCTTGAATATGCGTTGTACATAAATTCCCGGCAGATGAACCTCGTCTTAAACAAGTCAAATCGTGTCAGAGACGCGACGCACAACGAACAATCGGCGAGGGGCTTGTACCTGGATGGATGTCGCCCGGCTGCACCAGCTCCTCCACTTCTGCAATCGTAATTTGTCCAGCTTTGGCTGCATCTACGTTAAAGTTGCGCGCCGTGCCTCGAAACACCAAATTGCCGTCTGTATCGCCTTTCCACGCCTTGACAAGCGCAAAGTCGCCCGTGATCCCCTCTTCCATCACGTAGTTGCGGCCATTGAACTCGCGAACTCCTCGCGCAGCACTCGGTATGGCAACAGAGCCATCAGGATTCAGTTTGATGGCAAATCCTCCCTCCTATGAGCCACAGGCTTACGTATTGGAAAAGAAGCTTGCGATGCACATCATGAAAGCTTGTACCAACCTGGATGATGGTGCCGTAAGCTGTCGGTGTATAAAAGGCTGGGATGCCAGATCCACCAGCCCGAATACGCTCGGCGAGGGTTCCCTGTGGCGTGAGCTCGACCTCGAGCTCCCCCGTCAGGTAAAGTTTCTCGAAAAGTGCATTTTCCCCAACATACGACGAAATCATCCGTTTGATCTATGCGATTCCATCGCCTCACAAGTTAGCAGAGCCGGCATCAAGACACCAAACCATCACCTTATATTGCCCATGAATGTCCAGTACCTGGCGGGTTTGCAGCAGTAGTCCCAGGCCGAAATCGTCGACTCCTGCATTGTTTGACACACAAGTCAAGTCGGTCGCTCCCTGTCCCAATCATTAACAACCGACAAACGGTATGCAGGAGAGATCGACAGCCGTTAGGACATCAGATACAGTAACAAAGTCCGCGCCTTTTGACTCACGTGCTTGACCAGTGCGCAAATACTGTTCTCCGGAATGCCGCAGAGTCCAAACCCACCCACGACACTGGCAACAAACGACCACAAACGGCCACAAAAGACCATAACAGCATTCACGAGAAAACACACAGGCAAAAGGGTCAGCACTGACTGGCAGAGCCACTGGTTGATGGACGTACAGTGTGGCGTGGGACGGAATGTCTTTGACGGCGGCGTCGGCGGTTGCAAACACTTTGTCATGCGACAAGGAACGAGTGGCCAATAGTCGACGGCACGGGGTCTTCGTGGTCCGGAGCGCTGCGTGTCGCAGCATTCTCACGTGGGATCAGCTGCCGGTCTGAAGCGTGCGGAGAGTACGTTAGCGAATGACGTCGGGCGTCTGTTTTCTCGCTCAACTTCAAGCGAGTTTGGCGGCTGCATCTCATCACGAAGCTTAGGTGGAGATTATCGAATCGAGAGGGGTCGTGGCTTTTACTTTTTTTAGTTGTTGCTTTTTTGGGACATTGTTTACAAAGGGGGCGCAGGAATTGACCGACAAATTGGCGTCCCTTGTGTGTCGTGGAGCGGATGCAAAAAGACACAAAGCGAAAAAGACCCAAAGCGTTACTTCAGACACGAGGTGGTAGGTACACGACACGAGCCGAGCCGAGGCGGACGAGTGGAGCTGCTATACATTCGGTCCACTGGATCCTACAGTCACTCGTACCTTCAACGTCGATCTTGCGTGGACCGTTGCTTTACTTCCGTACCTCGGAGGATGTAACTCCCGGACGTGCTTCGCTCTGTCGTCAAAACACCACCCGACAGCTGCTCGAGCATTTGCTGAATGATGTCGATGCACTCGACACCACAGAGAGACACGCGCTGTTCATGAAACACCGCGTCAGCAAGAGATAAAGTCGCGAAGAAATGTTATCCGAACAAGTCTCCTGTTCCTTGTACACAAACACACTTACACTCACTCACGTGCACGTGCAACGTGAGAGGAAGTTGTCCCCCTCAACCGCGTCATCGTTACACGCCATCACCTCAAACATCGCCTCTAACGTGCATGAAACTTCAAAGCACCTTCCGACTGCAACTAGGCACGTCGAGTACCTCGTCATTTCCGTAGGTCTAGTCAAGCGGTTGTACCGGTAGTGTTGGGTGTACTCGTTAGGTCGTCCCTAGAAGTCCTTCTCCGTGAGCAACGAGAGGATCGCCATCTGCTCGTTCGTGCTCGTCTGGCGCGCACGGCCTCGTCCGTTGAGTCCGCTGATCTCGACCACAAACGTGCACGCTGTGACCGAGGCACCTGCTTGCTGGACGAGGCGGATAGCAGCTTCGCAGGTGCCGCCCGTAGCGAGGAGGTCGTCCACAAGTAGCACTCGGTCGCCTTTCTGGACGGCGTACGTCTGGATACTCAGGTGGTCACCGCCTCCGCTGTGGTCGCCTTTGTACTCCTTGACGTACTCGACCGTATCGCCCACACTCGGCATCTTGTCGGGTTTGCGCAGCATAAAGACGCGCTTGTGAAAGTGCACGCCCAAATACGGTGCAAAGAGGAACCCGCGCGCGTCAACGCATCCGATGGCGTCCACGTTGTCGATCAACGGCGTCACCGCGTGCACGAGCAGATGGAGCGCCAGCTGCAGCTTCTCTGGATTCGCGAGTAGACCTCCGATATCAAAGAACGCGACACCTTTGAAGGGGACCACGGGGATGGTCGTGGCCAGACCGACCCGCGCGTGGTGCCTGACCTCGGGGTCGTCCAAGTTCAGCTTTGTCAACGACATGATCGGGTGGTCACCAGAGACTTGAAGTGCGAATGAGCTCAAGAGTGGACGACGAGGGGTCGACCGTCGTGCGCACCAATAGTGGCACATTAATCAATCAGTCGTGGCGGTCGGCACCCATTAGGGCTGAGATGATGCAGCCACTACGCTTGTGCCATAACGTCTTAGGGGGTAGTACAGTAGTGAGGCGAACGCTTGTCGACGACAGTGTGTGTATGTGTGTGATCACGAAGGGATTTGTTGGCGGGAGCAAAGAAGTTTCCGCCCCGACCTCGAGACGGCGCAGACGAATGCACTTCTCATGCAGCGATTTATTTGGTCCACTATCTCCATCGCCAATGGCCTGGACAGCTCCTCGTGTGTGTTCTTGCTACAATGTCCACAGCGCAGACCGATGCTATCCTTCCGACTTGCAACGCAGAGGTTTGACGTCGTCTGTACAGCAGACGCACTTCTCGAACCTCGTCGACGCCATGTCAACGTGACCGCCGTGGAGAAGCAACAATTTCTTTGTAGCAGCTGCGACCCACGATTGGCGGCTTCTGACCAGCACCTCAGCCGGAATGCGGTGCGTTGACACCTGTCTTGAAGCATAGGCGACGTGCTCGATCTTGCCACACACGGCATTCAATTCTGGCCACGGCCCCTATCTCGCTGTTCGTTGCCAGGTGTCGTTTTTCACTAGACCCTTCCACTTCCACGCACGTCCCGGCGTCCGACAGCTGTGTAGTGCATCGACGCTCCTGTTCTTCAAGATAGCCCGTGAGCTCACTGTGGTCAGATCAAGGTGCCGGTGTGTGTAGTCACGGGGGGATGTCCGTGCCCGACCGGTCGTTCGTTAATGCTCTTAGCAGCAAAAGGGTACGCAGCAAACGCACGTCTACCGCGAGCAGATGTTACGATGGACGACCGAGGGACAGGCACCGATTTGCGAGGATCGCTACGCCCATAGCAACCACTATGCATTTCCGCGGAGGTACTCATGCGTGTGTGCTTTTACGACGCTAGTACTGCTTCCATTCCCACTACTCTCGAAGATGTCATCACGAATGGTTCTTGTCGCTTGATGTCCTCAGTTCCACTGCACGTCGCGTACAGCACATGGGTAAGGAACGTCACATCGCTGGACTTTGTGCGATTCACGTGAGCAATTGATACTCTATCAAGCGTGGACTTGTTCACCCTGATCACTTCCTTCGAGCTTCGTGGTGCATTCTGAAACGGGGCAGCCCGTTACATGGAATTGTCACTTTAAAGAAAGTGACAATAAGAATATTAAGTTGAATATTCTTTGAACAATATCACCAAAGTGGTGATATTGAAGGGTCGACCAAAGAGTCTGTTCATTGGTTGATATCTTGATGATATCAACCCACCAATCGCCGCAAGACGCGCGCAATGAGTGGTGACGAGACGTCACCATACACTCAGTTTGATTAGTATAATCAAGTTAAGTCAAACAGAGAGACAGTGGATTAAAGACTTAATTATATTAATATATCAGTTTTACTTTTACCTTATCTACGCTTCCTCGCTTGCCTTGTGTACGTCTGTCGGGGCACCGATACCCTTGCGTTAAGTTCACGCAAGGGTTTGCCCCGTTACACCTGGTAGCACTTTGTAGTCCTTCCAAGGACCACAACATCCAACATTTTCATGTTGGATGATAAAGAGACCTTTCACGCCACGCGTGAAGGGTTTACCCATTTAAGTGACATTGAATGGGGTGCGGTAGAACGAATGAGTTCTACCGTAGGCGAGTTCTCCATTAGCGCCATGTTGGAGTCTCTAGATAGATACTAACAACATGCCGCTATCGCCAAGTTCATTCAACATGAACTTGTCGCCGAAAGGGAGAAAGTAGCCTTGCTTCACCAGCAAGGCTCTCAACAGGCCGAGCAGTTGAGAGAACTCGGTGCTCAACAGACAGAGCTGCTGAGACAGCAGCAATTCCATGCTGCTGTGGGCGGGACGGCACATGCGCGTCGTCCCGAAGTCATGAAAGTTGACATCTCCTAGTACAGTGGAGTCCCGGAGGACTCCCTGTTACTATGGTTTGTCGAACTCGACAGAGCCTTAAGGGTTCGTCGCGTCGAAGGTGAGCAAATGAAACTCACATTTGCTAAGACCCACTTGTCAGGGCGTGCCAAAACTTGGTCCCTGGGGCTCGAGAGTAGCGACCCAAATGTGTTTAGGTCGCTAGATGACTTCAAGTCCCGGCTCAGACAAACGTTTGAGCCGCCACGGGCTGAGTTCAGGGCTCGTTCAGAGCTCCTGAAACTCAAGCAGGGTAAGCGTGATGTGCACGCTTACGCACAACATATACGACTCCTCGCGAGTAGTATAACTGCTAACCCAGTCCATGAACACACGTTGATTACGGTGTTCATGCAAGGGCTCGTAGAAGGGCCCGTCAGGAGCCACCTGTTCCGCCTTGAGCTGAATACGCTGGAAGATACGATATCAGCCGCGGAACAGGAAGACTTTAGCATGAGACAGGCTCATGCTAGCTCAAACTCTTATCGTCCACAAAGACGACAAGAGATCGGAGGTCCAGAACCAATGGACCTCTGCTATGTTGAGAGCGAGAGACCTCGCTCTTCAAACAACAATCGATTGCAGAGGTGCAATCGCTGTCAGAAGTTAGGGCACTACGCATACGAGTGTAGTGCTCCACGCCCAGTACCAAACAGTACTGAGCGAAATGGACGACCTTTTACCAGAAAGGGCAATGGGCGTGGGTCCAGCGCTGTTGCGAAGCCGCAACAGCGAGACGGACCATCAAAAAATGGTCGGGGTCAGTAGGGGCGGAGCGCCCTACTGATCCAGCAACCTCACGAGAATTTACAAATCTCTTGACGAAGGTTGCTCCAGATACACAATCATTGTGTGTCTCTGCACCTGGTGATGACGTTTCGCTCATCACCTTGAAGTTGGAAGCGACAAATGATTTGTCGCTTCGTGCCCTAGTAGACTGTGGGGCGTCGAACAACTTTGTTCGACGCCAGTCACTAGAGGGTAGTAGGCTCAAGTTCGTTGAGCGCGACTTCCCCTCACAAGGATGACGGTGCGCCTTGCAACAGGCGCATCGATTACCGTTGAGAAACGTGTAGTAGGAATTCACTACACGTTAACAGATGAAAAGGAGGATGATGACTTCATCGTAACGGATCTGGATGACAAATTTGATGTCATCCTGGGATTACCTTGCCTCAGAAAGTACGAGCCAAGGGTGAGCTGGCAGCATCGACCCGTGAAGATGCCTGCCGCTTGTTAATCAGATGGCCATCTAATGAACATCTTGGAGCGTCCACAAACGTGTGGATGTTCTGCGAGTAAGTGCGATGGCCTCACTTGCGGTACGGTCGTTAGCACAACTGCACAAGATCACAGTGTAGTTGATCACTACACTGTGGAGCAAGCTCCCGGCGGCTGTACAGGAGTACAGGCTGCGCCGAAGGTCCACCACTCGAATAAGTCGAGTGGACCGGGACATGGATGCATGCCTAGCGGGCAGCATCTTAGAAGTAAGAAACCTGTTGCCTTCAAAGGGCAACATGGAAATCCTAGGTCGACTGGAGAGTGTACTTGAGGAAGGAATTCCTCAAGAGTCACTTGCTGAGGGATCCGGCCCTCAGCAACCTGTGGAAGCAAGTTCCCAGGGAGTAACCGAGACGTTGAACGTCTTGGT